TGCCCGTTGCCTATATAGAATAGCTAGATGCTGGCTCTCTATTCCAGGAGCCAGCGATTCGTCTTTTATCTTTTGACAATAAGATACCAGAGTTACCACTGTCCTCATACAATATTTTTAGTGTGCCGAGTACCTCTGGTAGTTCAGTATTTGTATAGTATTCTACGAGTTCGCGGTTCAAGCGAGATAATCAAGCCCACCCATAAGGCTTCCCATTATATACCATCCTCCTCTGTGCCGCTGCCGAGTAGCAATCGCCTCGGCGCCGTCACATTACACTCACTTATTTTATTTGCTATATTTATCAAGTTTCTGTTTATTGATAGACAAATGGCAATTATGGTGAGAACTTCAAGCTATGTGGATGATTTGGATCTAATTGTAAGCTCAGAATCAATTGTAAATAATTGCAATTTGATTGAGCAAGCAGCAACTGAAATGATTAAAAAAGCAAAATCAAAAAACATTGTTTTTGATATGGATAAAACTGAATTAATTCACTTTTATCCAAATTTCAGAGAAAGAGATACTGAAGTTAAGCTTTTAAATCATTCAGTTAAATCAATAAATTCAGTTAGATGACTTGATGTCTGGTTAGATTCTCAGTTAAATTTTAAATCTCATATTCAGATCAAAGTTGCAAGTGCTGAAAGAATCTTAGACAGTGTTTTAAGACTTTCAAATATTGAGAGAGGCTTATCTTTTCAAGCAATGAGACAATTATATATTGCTTGTATAACCTCTGTTTCAGACTTTACAGTTCAAGTATAATGGAAAAATCAAAAGAGTTTTGTAGAGAGGTTTCAAAAGCTTCAAAATTCAGCTTTAAGAAAAATATTGGGGGTATTTAAAAGCTCTTCAATTAAAGCCATGGAGATTGAAGCCTCTCTACCACCACCACTGTATTGTAATGCACTCGTTTATTATTTCCTTATTATTATATTATCTTTGTTTATATCTTCGTCTATTCTTACCTCTTTCCATTATACTCTCGCTACCACTATTTTTATATGTATATATATATGGATGCATGTATTTCGCACATCTTCTTTCTCTTTCTTTTCCTCTTCAGCGATTAGCTACAACTACAACTACAATTACAACTTCAACTATACTACTACTATAATTATTATTATCTTCCACTACACTATATACTATCTTCTACTATTCACTCTTCACATGTATGAATTATGCTCTCAAAATTATGAAGTTATATTCCAATCATTCAATGAGAAAAAGAGTCTCAAGTTCTTTTCCAAATGAATCAACTGGAGTAGATCTGAATTGAGAGTCTTATTTTGATTAGAATGAAATAAATTCATCTGATAATTTAACATCTGTGCAAAGAAAGAAGATACCATCTCAGTTATTTAGAATTTGCTCCATGATTAAAAACAGTTTCTCTAGTTTAAATGTGGAGAAAGTGGTCTTTGAAAATCTCTCTCCTTGAAAGAAAGATCTGTCAGTTTTATTGATTTAAATATTAGTCAACTTTCAAAAGAAGTTCAGACTGAACAACATCTAAATCTTCTAAAACAAATGAAAAACAAAGCAATTCTTATATACACTGATGGCTAAAAATGTGAAAAAACAGGCAATCTGTGAGGGGTGATGATAGTGTGAAGAGTGAATAGTAGAAGATAGTATATAGTGTAGTGGAAGATAATAATAATTATAGTAGTAGTATAGTTGAAGTTGTAGTTGTAGTTGTAGTTGTAGTTGTAGCTAATCGCTGAAGAGGAAAAGAAAGAGAAAGAAGATGTGCGAAATACATGCATCCATATATATATACATATAGAAATAGTGGTAGCGAGAGTATAATGGAAAGAGGTAAGAATAGACGAAGATATAAACAAAGATAATATAATAATAAGGAAATAATAAACGAGTGCATTACACAATCTTGGAACTGGAATAGTATATTCAGAAAATGATAAAAACTATATTCTTGATTCTTGGCAAATTGGAAAAGAGTCAGAAGTTTTTAATGCTGAATTATTTGCAATTTCAAGAGTTTTCAAACTGATTGAGATAAAGATTGAATAATGGAAAAGATTTGAGCATATTTGAATATTCTCTGATAGTCAAGCTGGGCCTAAAAGACTTCAAAGTAATAAAATCAGCAGTGGACAGTCAATGCTAGAGCTGATTTTGAAAAGTCTTCAAAATATTCAAAGAAAAATCTCATTCAATTGTTCTATTCATCTTCACTGGGTGTCTGCTCACATGGGTATATATGACAATGAAATGGCTGATAAGCTGCAAAAAAAGCAACTGAATTGGAAATCTGCTTTCAAAAAATTGTAACATGGGCTTTTATTAAGAGAAAAATAAGAGAATCATGTTTGCAAAAATGGTAAGATATCTGGTTTTTACAAAAAAAGAGTGTATATTATTCCAGGTTTGAAACTAAGTTAAAATGGAAAGCTTGCTCAATAAAATGTAAAAAGAAACTTTTTGCTACAATAATGCAGCTAAAACTTGGACATGGTTATTTTAAATCATATTTAACAAAGATTAAAAATGATTTAAGTGATTTATGTTCAAATTATCAGTTATATGAAAACCCAGAGCATCTTCTTTTACTTTGTACAAAGCATACAGAGTTAAGATTGAGATTGAGAGAGATGTTTGAATTGAAGCAGTTAAATTTAAAACTTTTATTTAATACAAAAACTGGAAATGAATTCTTGATTGAATATTTGAAACAATCAAATATTGTTACAAGATGGCGGCGCCTTTTTTTGGCTTGGAAGATCGGATGCCCATGGTTCTGGGGTTGATTTTGGGACTGCAACATGCGCTGGCCATGTTGGCCGGGAGTATGTCTTCCGCCATCATTTTTCTTACCTCTTTGGTTCCTATTTTATATGGAGATGTAAAAATATGGAGGGGAAAAAAGGAGATACTACTAAACCCTAACCCCAACTAATCGGGAAACACTCCATGTTGATGATGTGCATATACATAGTCATCACCCCCCCAATCCTCATGTCCGGCTCTAGTGGCGCAGAGCTCCCTGACAACACAGCTCAATACCTGGTCTCAACCTCCCTGATTGTCTCCGGCCTCCTCTCCGCCATCCAAATGACCCGCTTCCATATTTACAAAACCCCTTATTACCTCGGCACGGGCTTGATTTCCGTCGTGGGAACCTCCTTCGCCACAATACCAGTCGCCATGGGCGCGTTCGCGCAAATGTACGAGACCGGTTACTGCCCAGTCGACGAACAGGGGAACCACCTCCCCTGCCCACATGGTTACGGA